GAGGTCTGCATGTGAAATTGCTGTTTTCAGCAGTTATGTACACGTTGCTATGACAAAAATGCCCCTCATCGAAATATCAGGTTTAGGTCACATGATCATTAGACCAAATCTGTTTCAGACAATTTGAAGTGGATTAAAAAAAGTCTGTATGGCTGGCAGATGTGCAAGATAACTCTCGAAGTGAGTAATCGGTTGTAAAATGATTTTTTGCACATAATTTTTTTTTCCAAACATAAATAAAGCTCGAAAAGGGATATATCGGTCCACTCCTTCTGATACCTCCCCCATAAAATGGTCAACATTTTGCTGAAAATGAATTTAATATTATTTATATTTATATATTTTATATTATCATGAGAAAAAGCTGTTCGATTTGGGCCAAAGTTTGCCCAACCTGATAATTCAACCCATCCTTTATAGTGTTTGAGGATGAGTCTTATCGGTAAAAAATTCGTATGAAACGAACGGAACATCATAATGTTTTTACACAACCTACATGAAGTTTGGAGATTGGGTCAATCGGTCCACTCCTTTTGGTACCTCCCCCACAAAGCGTTAACATTTTGAAGGGTTGTAAAGGTAATGTGTCCGATTTCAAGTCCAAATATGGGCCGATGCGTCTCACCATTGGAAATGTATTTCATATGAAGCAAATGTCTAAATCTATAAATATGAAAGGTTTATTTACTTCAGAACGTCGTTAGGTACGGACGGCCTGTCACCATGAACTAGAGGGAACAAAATAAAAGATCTAAACCCTTTCAAAAATATATCTGCTCCTCTATGAGCCAATATTAATAATTTTTAGTAGTGATCCTTTCGATTAGTGCAACGAAATAAAAAAAAATTAGGAATCACTTATTTAGGCATTTGAACTCGAAAAAAGGCAATCGACCAAATGGACCTTCGAAGACAAGCAAACAAACTTTAATTGGGGAAACTGGTCAGTTGCTGAGGATTTGTTTGAAAAATATAGGGTGGCCAATTATGAGTGGTGCAGCACAAGTTGTTTGCCAGAAGTGTTCGGATAATTTCGCAAATGAAAGGAGAAAAATCGAGTCATTATGTACCATGACAATGGCAGCTCTCAAATTCTGCGACCTGTATCGGTTGTGTCCAAAGTAAAGAAGAGGTGTAGCCCAGATATTATTGTTCACCGTGCCATCAATTCGAGCCCAATATGAATTGAGTCGGCTACAAAATCCAGATCTCAGTTGTGCTAAAATCCCTCTGGTTCGTCGTGGTAGCTGTTGCTCTTCTGCTGATATCGTAGGCTGGTGATCTCCAATGATTGTATTCACTCTATTGTTTTGAACCGCATAGTTTACCACCGACCGATCTATTGCTGTGTATGTTGTTAACAAGATTTATTTTTCAGTTCCCCAAGTGCTGCCGGCTAGTGACTTGAGAACCTTGTTCCTGCTGCTGACCTGATCGCAAATAGCTGTGACAATATAATAACTTTATGCGCTTAAAACCAAGAAACGAAACACTTTTTTCCACTCCAAAGATCGATGACCACACATTTTTATACTCTCCACCATAAGGTGGAGTGTATATTAAATTTGTCGTTCCGTTTGCAACATATAGAAATATTCAACGGGGTACATAACGTATATACAGCTGCGTAAAATAAAATAGCACCACACTTACAAGCAATACTTGCAAAGGTTATCAACTCTTTTTAATTTCTGCATTCGGTGGTCGTCTGACATATTCTCGAGAACCTTTTTTCCCATACAGGCACCATCTGTCCATAAAACGTTCCTCCATTTTAATGGATTTTTTATAAGAAAATTATTAGGTTACTTGCTGGTACTATTGCATTCTTCGCAACTGTATATAATTGATCACAATAAAATCCTTTGTCGATGTATGTATGTGCATTTGTTGAGATCGCAATATTTGAGATAAAGTTCTGAAATTTTGCACAGATATTATTAGTACTCCTAGGATGGTTGGTATTTCAAATGGGGTATATCCGTTAATGTTATAGTGGGATTTTGACACGTTTTGTCAGTTTACGGTTTAGGATAGCTCCAATAGAACCGTACCATCCGGTTTTCGGTATTTTGAAGACCTAAGCCACATTTTCGGTATTTTGAAGACCTAAGCCACATTTCCCCAACCATGTGGCAGTAATTTGATATAAAGGGTTCTGGAAGGCGGACTTATATATACATATATATAGAAAATCAGTGAGCGGAACAGTATAGTCGTACGGGGCGACCACATGATACCCTACACAACTACCACGGAACACTAACTTTCTGTGGATCTATATTCTCCGCCAAAAGATATTTTTTTCATTTTACACAAAAATGTATAATGTACAAATTTTCTAATTAGTTAGCTAGATTCCCTTCCCCATGTGGTGTGTTGCGATGTTCGGCTTTTTATTGTGGCCAATAAGCGACTGGACAAACACACAAATCTTAAGTTATAGGCGTCCTACTTGACCATTACCAAAACTTCGTGTAAAATTTCAAATCGATCAGCGCGACATATATGAACTATAGTATGGTAATGGTAATAAGAATAGGTAGATCCAGAACCCGCCCTACATGCAAAATTTTGATACGATTGGTCCATAACTATGGCCTATATCTTGTTTACAAATTATAACCAGTAAGGAAAGCAGTAAAGTCGGACTGGGCCGACTATATGATACCCTTCACCACTTTTGGGTATATTCAACAGATGAATCCTAACAGACGTCGGGTTTGTGTTATATATCTATATCTGAACCGATGTCAGGAAACTTACCAGAGACTTATGTATATTACTTCAGTACTTTGTGTCAATAAGTCTAGCTATGGACCTTTTCACGAAGCTTAGCAACATCATTCTAGACTTAATTCAGTACGCTATGCCAAATTTCGTGCAAATCAAAAGATTTCCAGGGACTTTAGTGGACTATTTACCTAAAATCAGACGAGACTATATATGGGAGCTATATCTAAATCTGAGCCGATTTTTACGAAACTTTGCACACATCATTCTAGACTTAATTCAGTACGCTATGCCAAATTTCGTACAAATCAAAAGATTTCCAGGGACTTTAGTGGACTATTTACCTAAAATCGGACGAGACTATATATGGGGGCTATATCTAAATCTGAGCCGATTTTCGGAAACTCTGCACACATCATTCTAGACTTAATTCAGCTCGATATGCCGAAATTCGTGCAAATCAAAAGATTTCCAGGGACTTTATGGGACTATTTACCTAAAATCGGACGAAACTATATATGGGAGCTATATCTAAATCTGAACCGATTTTCACGAAACTTGGCACACATCATTCTAGACCTACCTTAGTACGCTGTACCAAATTTCGTGCAAATCGAAAGCTATGTAGGGACTTTTATACCTCATTTACCTTAAATCGGACGAAAATATATATGGGAGCTATATCTAAATCTGGACCGATTTTTCCCAATTTCAATAGGGTTCGTCCTTGGGCCAAACAAATGAGCTGTGCCAAATTTCATCCAATTCGGATCATAAATGCGACCTGTACTTTGTTTACAATTTAGCATGGACAGACGGACGGACGGACATGCATAAATCGACTCAGAAAGTGATTCTATGCATATTCTCAAAAGGAACCATGGGCCTATCTCGATTATTTTTGCCAGTTACAAACATATGCACAAAGACATAATACCCTGTACCACAGTGTGGTGAAGGGTATAATGAACATACGGACGGTCACGCATGTTTAGCTCGACTCAGCTAGTTGAGATATGTTTGGTCTAGAAACAATATTTCGCGGCATTGCAAACTCTTAGGGCCACACAAAGCTATAATACCCTGACAACCATTATAGTGGCTGCTAAAATTTGGCATTCGATAACCATTTTTGTTATGGCTTATAAAAGTGGGTTTTATCGGTATCGGCTCCAATTTCAATCGAATTGCTTATATTTCGGCATTTCTTGTTTTCGGGGGCTGACATACAAAAGGAATGTTTTTGCTGCTATTTCCCATCGTAGTGATTTTAATGTAGCATTCCGGGATCTTGAAGTGTGAGAAACATTTGTGAAGACAATTTTTGAGATATATCCATGTTTTGACATTTAAATATTTTTAGGGTTTTAGCCATATTTTCAACCCCAATGTGATGTATTATGGGAAGAGGATCAATTGGTATGAAGGTTCAGCCCTATTTTCGATATTATGATTATTTTAACCCTATTTTCCAACCAAAGTGGCCATAATTTAGCATTTCGGGTTCCTGAATGTTCTGTATATATGTTACAGAACATTTTAGATATAGGTTCCTGTTTTACTATACCCCCATATAAAGTTCCTGTATGTTTTTGGTTTTAGCCGTTGTACCTTTTATTGGGAAAAGGCTTGCCGACACATCATATTGATTTTTTATGTGAAAAAGAATTTACATAGTAAGGTAAGAGGAATTTTAACTACTAATTCTTTTGGTCCAATCCGCGATATACTGATTTTCTCTGGTGAGACTATTTCAATACCAACCATAAATTATTGCCTCCGGTCTAAGGTAATGATTAAAGGGGTATAGTGTAGGTCAGGAGTATTCCATGCGAAATATAAATATCCGTCTCGCAATTAAGAACTACACTATTTATGACATGGACAGGGGAGATGTTCTGACTCCTAATTACCTCAAAGTAGCTTTCGCTTGCATTTACAATTTGTCTACAATGTTGACAAGTATCTAGCCTGCAGACTCTTGGCGGAAGATAAGTGTACCTTTTCGTCGAATTATAACGCGATATACTGGACCATTTGCATGACGAGACGAACATCAATTTTTGTTCACCAACACAACAACACATTGTCGATGCAGTATCAGAAACCGCCATTCTAATTGTTAAGCATCTTCATGGAGAGGAAGAGGTAACATCTTCAAGACGTGAATTTCCTAAGACTTTTCGTTAACAACAATAAAACTCCGTGCTTTTTATATAATAAATAGTAAATCCCATAGGGACATTTATTCTTAAAATAAACAAAACTTAACAAATATTTCCCGATTTCTTGGCATACATCACCGCCAATTTATACGGAACGGGAAATGTGGCATTGAAATCGACACGAGTGATATTCAAGCCCAAAATATCACAAATACACGACAAAAAGTCGTTAACAAATTCACTTTGTTTTTCTTTGGGCAGGCGGTCGATAAAAGGATTGACGGCCACCATGTTATCTGCAAAGGGGTAAAACATACAAATTAATAAAAATAATTTTTTAAAAATTTCATAAAAAAACTTACTTCTGAAAACATTTAAACTTTGATGAGGGAAAACTTTATTGCGCACTTCCACCTGATAATCACTGAATCCGGCATTTTGTAGAAATCCCATGAAATCACCTTTCGGATCGGGAGAATATTGTTGTTGTGGCATAAACGATTCAACATCGTACATATATTCCGACCATTTCTCGGTTTGACTCATGCGTTTATAAGCATCAAATGTGGGATGATATGCGAGGGTAACCAAAAGGCAGTCACCACCTTCGGGTTTTAAGAGGTCATAAATGTTGCGGAATGTTTGTCTGGAAAAAAGAAATAAAATTGTTTTTTAAAGAATATTTGTTCAAGGACCAAAAATAAGCGTGGATTTATTAAAAAATATTTTTTCAAGGACCAAAAATAGGAGTGGATTTATTAAATAATATTATTTCAAGGACCAAAAACATGGGTTGTTTTTGTTAAAGAATATTTTTCAAGGGCCAACTGAGGCGTGGATTTATTAAAGAATATTTTTTCAAGAACCAAAAATAGGCGTGGATTTATTAAAAAATATTTTTTTCAAGGACCAAAATAGGCGTGGATTTTTTAAAAAATATTTTTTTCAAGGACCAAAAATAGGCGTGGATTTATTAAAGAATATTTTTTTCAAGGACCAAAAATAGGCGTGGATTTATTAAAGAATATTTTTTCAAGGACCAAAAATAGGCGTGGATTTATTAAAGAATATTTTTTCAAGGACCAAAAATAGGCGTGGATTTATTAAAGAATATTTTTTCAAGGACCAAAAATAGGCGTGGATTTATCAAAGAATATTTTTTCAAGGACCAAAAATAGGCGTGGATTTATTAAAGAATATTTTTTCAAGGACCAAAAATAGGCGTGGATTTATTAAAGAATATTTTTTCAAGGACCAAAAATAGGCGTAGATTTATTAAAGAATGTTTTTTCAAGGACCAAAAATAGGCGTAGATTTATTAAAGAATATTTCTCAAAGACCCTCCAGGACTTTTCAGGCGTAGATTTATTAAAGAATATTTCTCAAAGACCCTCCAGGACTTTTCAGGCGTAGATTTATTAAAGAATATTTTTTCAAGGACCAAAAATAGGCGTAGATTTATTAAAGAATATTTTTTCAAGGACCAAAAATAGGCGTAGATTTATTAAAGAATATTTTTTCAAGGACCAAAAATAGGCGTAGATTTATTAAAGAATATTTTTTCAAGGACCAAAAATAGGCGTAGATTTATTAAAGAATATTTTTTCAAGGACCAAAAATAGGCGTAGATTTATTAAAGAATATTTTTTCAAGGACCAAAAATAGGCGTAGATTTATTAAAGAATATTTTTTCAAGGACCAAAAATATTTTTTATTTTTTCAAGGACCAAAAATAGGCGTAGATTTATTAAAGAATATTTTTTCAAACCAAAAATAGAATTTATTTATTTTTTCAAGGACCAAAAATAGGCGTAGATTTATTAAAGAATATTTTTTCAAGGACCAAAAATAGGCGTAGATTTATTAAAGAATATTTTTTCAAGGACCAAAAATAGGCGTAGATTTATTAAAGAATATTTTTTCAAGGACCAAAAATAGGCGTAGATTTATTAAAGAATATTTTTTCAAGGACCAAAAATAGGCGTAGATTTATTAAAGAATATTTTTTCAACCAAAAATAGGCGTACCCAAAAATAGGCGTAGATTTATTAAAGAATATTTTTTCAAGGACCAAAAATAGGCGTAGA